TTTCAATGAAAATATTTCAATCATATAAACTTAATGATTCATGCATTCCAGACAAATCCTATGCTACAATCAAATGAACGATTTATTTGATCCACTTGAAGGATTGTTACATTTTAATGAATTCATTCTCCTCGACGTCTGCGATAATGATTTAATTTCTTGCTAATAAAGTATTCATTTGGATCGCGGAAATGTCTGTCTATATTATAAAAATCCAAATCGAGTTCTGCTGATGAAAATTTGGTATTCGAAATTAAGACTCCAAGATTAAAGGTCACAAGGGTAAAAATAAGTGTCATGAGGGTCAGAATAAGGGTTATGAGGGTTAGATAAGGGTCACGAGGATCTGACCAAAGGTCACGACGGTCTGAATAAGGGTGACGAAAGTCAAAGCAAGGATAACAAGGGTAGAATAAGGGTCTAACTAGTGGTCAACTTAAGATTCACAAGGGTCACAAGATGAAGGCTCACAAGGGTCACAGTAAGTGTCATGAGGGTCAGAATAAGGGTAATGAGGGTCAGAATAAGGGTCACAAGGATCCGACTAAAAGTCACGAGGATCAGAATAATGGTCGCGACGGTCCGAATAAGTGTGACGAGAGTCAAATTAATGATCACCAGGGTAGAATAAAGGTTCAAATAGTGGTCCAACTAAGATTCACAAGGATCACGAGATTAACGGTTACAAAGGCCACAAGATAAAGGGTTACAATTAGGGGTCAGATTAAGGGTCCAAATAAGGGTAACAAGGGTCACGACAGTCTAAACAAGCGTCACAAGGATCAGATTAAGCGTCGCAAGGGTCCAAACAAGGGTCACGTGGGTAAAAAACCAAGGGTCAGAAACTAAAGATCGCCAGGGTCAAAATAAGGTTCACGAGGATTATAATAAAGATCAAATCAAGGATGCAAATCAGAGTCACAAAGGTCACATTAAGGGTCTAAATAAGGATCACGGAGGTCAGAAACCCAGGGTTACAAAGGTCACAATAAGGGTCTCTATACCTCTCTATATTATAAAAATCCAAATCGACTTCTGGTGATGAAAATTTGGTACTCAAAATTAAGACTCCAAAATAAACGGTCAAAATAAGGGTTACAAGGGGTATAATGAAAGTCAGATTGAAGATCATGGGGGTCATATGGGGATTGGCGAGCGGAGCGAGCAGGGGGTGTGGCTCCCTAGTTTCTTTATATTCGCAAACGTATTCGCTTGATGTGAGTAGGAATGCCAGTCGAAATAAAGTTTCACTTTGAATAAAAACTGGAAGAAACTCAGTCATTTGATTGAAATGCAGATCATTTAATCCAAATAAACCATTTTCATATACCGTGCGACAATAACTTCGAAATTCACTTTAATTTTTGATCGAAAACGATGATCCATCTCCCTAAACTCTACAAGATCCTTTTTCACGCACCTGCACGGGAAGTTCGTACTTTGCTTACTGATGAGCGAGAGGAAAGTACTCACTTTGCTCCCACTCATCAGACAGCAAAATATAAACTTTCCTTTGCAGGCGTGTTAAAAAATCGCATGTGCACCTCGGGTGGGAAAACATGACTTTCCGCCCTTATGCACAATATACTATTTCCGCAACAAAATCCACAAGAGAAACCTTTCGCCAAGAATTTCCCTTCCCACCTAAATTGCATGTCCTACTGCAAATTATTCATTGGTTAGGCAAGAGGTGCAGTTTATTCTTCAATTCAACTTCACGCGGTACGTCGTTCCGCACGGAATTACGCACACCTCAGCGCCCGCCAAAGCCACCCGAATAATAAAGCATCGAGTTCCAAATTCCTCCAGAATTCCGTCGAAATTCCCCCATATCCAATAAATGCGAAATCCAATATCCCCTCAATTTAATACTCCCAAATAAATCCATGATACCACTTTTTCATCGCACATGTACCGAAAGCGATGTTATTCATTTACATGTAATAAAGCTATGACATTCAAAATTGAAACGTGCCGAGAACGACCGGAAAACTTTTTGGTACGTTATGAAGTCTAAGTTAGCTCTCCCACCAGATGGCGCACATCTGGTACAACATCGAACCCGTCACGTCGCACCGGAATTCAACTGCCAGCAACTCGACGACATTTTTTCAATGTTATAGCATTGTGAATGTGCCCGGAGAGGCACAACGGTTAGCACAAACAGAGAAAAAAAAGGTGAAAAGCGATAAAAATAAATTGGGCGAAAAAACTGGAGCGTAAAAAGGGGGAAAACCACTTCCGATTTTTTGGTTCAGTTATCAAATACATGACATGCGGAAAAGTCGAACGTGGCATTTAATGAAATTGAGTCGAACATTTCTTCCGGCTTCCTTCTGTTACCGCTGGTCCAAGGAAAATCCCCCGCATTTACTTTTATTTCTCATTTTGTTTTTACACGTTTGAGTCGAAGAACGGACACCCGGAGGAACGGGGCGCAATATAATGTGTCGCTTCTCTCCTTTTTTTCCAACGACTCGGAGTAAACCGCACGATTTTATTTTGCCGGTGGCAGTCGAGCGCGTTGCCGACCCCCTTTTTACTTGCGGGCGAGTGGAGGGAGGGCTGAAAAAAATAGCAATGACCCGGAACGGGGGGCGGAAGCACACGAATCCCGGGACGGAGGTGTTTTTCCCATCTCCTGCAATTTTTCTTTACGTGTAAAAAGCAAGAAAGTTATTTTCTCGGTATTAAAGGACAATATTTGCGGAGAAACGATTTTGATCGTTGCAATGATTGGAATGGTGAATCGGTGCAATAATTTGCCAATATGTACAGGTGTTTCGGTTGGAAATTGGCATTTTTGATGGGAGGTAGTGGGGAACTGAAACTTTACGAGAAAAATTTTATACATTGTTGAAAAATTTGGCAAAATTTGGCAGAATAAGAATTCACGACAGTTGTTAGTTTTGCACGTGTCCCTGTGTTTAACCTCTTCAGTCGCGACTATACATATACGCATTAGTATACACTGGGTGGAACTCAGTCGACGGCAGTCGACGCATGCGCAGAACGACTTACCTTTCGTCCCTCTAGAGAACGAAGGTTTCACTTTACTCCCTCTGCGGACCCGGGTAGAAATTCAACCGGGGATTCAGCCGCAACTCGGGTGAGCGCGAGCTCAGCCTCGGCTTGCCGCTTGACCCGAGTTCACGCCGCGATGCGCCGCTCCATACCGGCTCACAGTCGAACGCTCATCAGACGGCATAACCCGGCACTTGAGTTTGAGCTGTGGCTCAACGCTTAGAACTCAGCTCCGATTGAGTTGTGTCGTTTCGAGTGGAAGGTGGAATAGAATGATATTTATGCATTTTTAGAATATCGATTTAAAATTTGAATACTTTGGAAAATCCTTGTCTTCTTACTATAAAAAAATGGAATTCCACTGAACTTTCTATAAAATTTGAAATTTACTGATTTTTCCCTCTGTCATCGAATATAAAACCTGGCACTTTCTCTAAGAATTCCTATTGAATTTCTATTGGAGCTCTATGAGAATTCTATTTAAGTTTTATTGCAATTCCATTGAAAAATACTATTTTTTTTGCGTCAATTCCATTGAAAATTATGCAACTTTTCCCTGCATTTTTAATAGATATTTGTTTGTAGAAAAAAATCCATTGATTTTTCTAGATAATTTATTCTGTTAGGATTTCTTCCACAGAAACTATTGGGCATGAATTTTCCAAGTTTTGTTCCTGCATTTGATTAAAAGAAAAGAAGAAAAACCGAGCGGAAAAAACTTAGAAATCTTACGCCTAAGAAAATCTATAGGAACATAAAAACCTATTTACTTTCTTGCACCAAATTTTACCTTAACAAAAAGACTCTATGAAGTTGCATAATCTCCTATAGAATCGGCGCAAGAAACGAATAGAATTCTAATAGAACTTCCAGAGAATTCTCATAGAATTCCAATAGAAATTTAATAGAAAGCGCTAGGTTTTTCTGTTGAATTTTTTCATGCGTGTTATTTTGGCATACCTGTATTCAACATTTCCCTAATAAATCGTAGAATATTCTTAGAACTCGTAGGCCTATCGAAAAATGAAGAATATCCTCTCCTGTAGCGTTGATAATTAATAATAAAGGTTCGTTAACGTTTTTCAAGTGATTATTTTTCTTGATTTTGTTTGTTGTATTCGCGAGAAAAAAGAAAGTTTTGACTACGTTTCAGTGAATTGTTCTACCTTGTATTTTCAGATTAATCCCATTCGATTAGTTAATATCACGTTATTTCTGATGAGCGTGATTGTTCATCTGAAAAAGCATGCCATCTTCACATTTATTCGATTGTTTTTTCGCTCAAATCACGATGCCATCGGACCTGTCAAATCATTATTGAGGTTAAGTATACCGGGATTGAGTAATTGGAGATGAACCTGAGGTTGAACAGTAGCCATTCAACTAAAGCCCGGCGAAGGGTTTCGCGTAATAGTCTAACGCTGGGCTGTGAGCGCGTGACGCGGCTCAACCTCGGGTACATGTGACGCGCGTGGAGTTTATCCCAAGCTGGGGCGGANTATTTCTAGCTGGGATACGGGTTCCGAGCTGAGCTCGAGCGGCGTGATTTCTACCCGGGGAGGGAGCCGTTGCGAACTTTACATGTCGGTGGGGAAAAAAATTTTTTTCCGCCGCCAATCAACCCAGACCGTCAGCTGACTGACTTGCTCCGCTCCATTAATGCCCACATCACCTGAATGCTCTTTTCACTAAGACATCTTTCTAAAATAATTACCACTCCTGATGAATAAATTTATTCGGAATTTGTTATTAATCCCAACTGTCGGCAATGATTTCTCCATTTCACCTGTGTAGATTCAGAACACCTAATGCCATTCTTCTCTGATACTATTATTCCATGTCCCCCGATTTTCATGATTTTCTCTGGGGAAATAATTGATTCAAATCTACGGAGAGATTTCGTTCTCTCACTCAGAGCTTCGATAATTGACTCCCAAATTAGACTGCATAATTTAGGTTCATTAGAGGTTACTCACCAGGGTACTTGTGCCGTTGAGATAAATATGTTCTGCCCACAGCTGCCGAAGGCGTCAATATGTAAACCCGTTGCGTTGTCATGGGTCAGGGCGTAGCACGCCTCAGCCCACCGTTGAGCTGCTTTAGCAGCACCATTGTGCCATTTCTGAAAGAAATTGTATTCATAAATTGCTGATTAAGAGTTGAACATAGTTGTATCATTAGAACTCATAATTCATTCAACTGAACTATCCAAGTAATGAATTACTCGTCTTACACGAAACAAAATATAATGACTCAAAGCACTTCCAGAATTCGACTTGATTCAAGAAGGGTGACTATAACTCAATCCATCTCGATTTCGAACTTGGTGTGAATAGAAAATCTAATTTCTCTCAGTGTGACAAGTGAACAATGTTCCGTCAAAAAACAGTTTCCCTCAGTATGTTCCTCTGACAGTTCCCCAACGGGAAGAAGTCAGAGACTCCGCCGTATTTATGCAAATTTGAACACGTGATACCACATAAAGCAAGCTCTTCAACTCGGTCAGTCGTGTGCGCCAGCTTTCATGGGTTTACGCCTCATGATACGATTATTATAAAGAGTGAAAGGGTGGAGTGAGCCTCGAGTCAACGACCGCATCGAGCTTTGTTCAAAAGCATAAAGCCTTGTAGAAAAGCAAGTCATTTTTTGGTTTTTTATCATTCACCGGTATTACCCGCTTTCATTGATTCATTCATAATAACCACTATTTTGAGGTAAACATATCAAGCCGCTCACTCCTCCCTTTATCATGACAGGGGAATAATGACGAAAATTACCATTGTGAGCATGTTGGAAGCGGTGGGAGTCACGTGTGTCCTGAAGAAGTTGTGGTAAAGGACGATCTTCCTTTGAACTTTTTTGTTGCTTGGTGTTAGGACTCTCGTGGGAATCCTGTCGCCATATAAACGTGGCACTAAAACAGAAACGAGAGGAGTAGAGTCGTAGAAAGTGGGAAATAAACGACTTTAGGGGCATGCACGTGGGGAAGATTAATTACAATTTTTTACAGCAGACGTATCTGCAGCGCTTAACAAATAATGATGCGATTATCAGTAAACATCATACATTTCTTCCAAAGAAAAGTTTCACTTCTTGTGAGAAATATTATCAAGAAGGCTGCATCAAATTTTTGTTTAAAGACATCAACTGGCTCGTAAAATATCAATTTTTTAATGAAATCATGTGACGTCTCCGTCGCTCAGTCCACCATCCAATTTGAGCGCTCCAGCCCCACCGGAGTTTTGAGCGCATGTCACTCACTCAATACCTCTTACATGGAAAAGGATAAGTTTTATACTTCGTAGAAGAAAGGTCGACAATTGTAATGAAATTTTAATTATGTATCGAAAAAATATGTAATAGATAGGTATGTATTTAAATTTACTTCATATTGTATATAATCAAAGTCAATCGATGACACCTTTGGGGTATTTTGACCCAATTCGCGGAATTTTGAGAATAAAAAATTAAAAATAAAATAGATCTAAGACGAAACCCAACATGTATGACGGCTCAAAATCTTTTTGATTATAGGAATTACTGAAAAAAAAAATGAAAATAATCAACCGTGACGTAATTAGCCGAATTCAAGTTTTTCAACTTTTTTTTTAGAAAATTCGTCATTTCGAGCATCTAATGATTGGAAAAAATTTTTAAAAAATATATTCTTATAGGTCGTGAAAAATGGAAAATTTTGATCCCTAATAAATCGAAGTCGGATGAATAGAATTCGAGTTATTGCAAAAAAAACGAACAATGTGAAAAAAAAATATCTCCGAACTGGGCTGTCAAAAAAATCTTAAAAAATTTGAGAGATATTTTTTCAAGCCCCCCAATCGTAGAAAAAATCGCCATGAGTGTTCAAGAGGGTGAGGTTCAGCCGTTGACTCATTTGGCATGGAATACCTCATATAATAGAAAAAATGCTGATTACTTTTGGGACTTCTTCTCTTAAATTCAAGACAATTGAAACGATGAATTTGTATTTTCAGATTCGAATGTAAAAAAAAATATCTCTATCAATGCCAACTTCATTTCTATAGTGAGGAGAAGGGATATTCTATGGAAGGGATATTCTATAGTGAAGTTCGGTGAAGGGAGTTGTGGAAAAAAAAACCCTCACGTTCACACTCGCTCGGTCGCACCGGCGGGGGAGAGCGAGCGAAGCGAGCGAAAGGGACGAAGCCCCCCCCCCGGTTGGCAAGCGGGATGAGCAGGCGGCAGAGCCCCCTAGTTTAATAATAAAAATCCATTTTTTTTCCACAAAAAACATGAGTTTTCATGATTATTCATTTTTTTATAACGACAAAAAAAACATACTTTACTATGAAATATGTATTGAATGAGCTACGGTTGTTCAAAGTTTCAGCGGATTGAGAGGGCTTGAATTGGGGAGCGCACTGAACGGTTGGGACAGCGCGCGACTTCATAAAAAAAATAATGTCTCAACTATTAGTGAATGTCATTAAAAAAAATATCGACACAGCTTTCTCAACAATATTTCCCACAACATATATTTTTTTCAAACTTTTCAGGATGGAACTCACATAACTACAACGGTTTTTCTCATTGTTTATTTAAAAAGTTGCAATTATATTTACTTTTCCGAGCGATATTTTTTTTAATAACTAACCATTCTTTGCGAATAATAAAGCTCTTTTGAGTTTCCCACAGAAAATGCGTAGTTATTGAGATACAAATATTCAAAAGTTTGCGGATTCTTTGCTCAACTAAATTCGCCGTTGAAATAGTGGGGAACGCCTTATATTGCTAATTTATTAGCAAAAATAACTGTACTATACGCAATACAAGAGAAAATTCTCACTTGTTTTTTTTTTTGCAATTATCTGAAGGTCATGGGGATGAATGGACGTGAAACGAACGTTCTACCGAACGTGTTTGGTACAAAATCCTTCGTCGTTACAAACAAATTATATGCAATATTGAGCAATCATTCACGTTCACTGGTATAATTTTTGATTGAATGCAGGATAAATTTTATAATTTTGGCACAAATTAACCTCACGTTCAGTAAATTTTCCCGGGCCAACGGAGAAAATTTCACTATTCGTCTCGCACTTTTTTCCCGATATAGAGTGAAAAAGTGCTGAAAAGTTAGCTCCACGACTACTTGATTTATTCGGTAATTTTTCTACTTCTTTCTCCGTGTCTAGAAATGTAACAATAAAGTTCACAATCGTTCCTATTTTTTTTAGAATCTTCAATGACCTCCAGACCATGAATGAAAATTCATTCGTCTCACATGTCATGCCATTTTTTTGAGAAAAGTTTATTCGCTCTAAATGAATGTGCAAAAATACTTTCAGAAACTTTTCCATTTCCAATGGATGGATTCAAGAATAAAGTAGGTGCCAATATCCTTTTTCAATGTGACTACAAAATAGAATGACGTCTTTTGTTGGTTTGAGAGAAATACTTTTTCATTGAACAACGATTTTCCTCATTTTCTCAGTTCACGAGCAACGTATTTATTCAATTTCCCCTGTATTTGAATTCAAAATAAATAAATGTGTCAAGCACTTACTTTATGTAATAGACACGCTCTGTGGGATTTTGTCGCGTGCAATACCCCAGTGGTTCTGCCACTATTTTTCTTTTTCAAGTATTAAAAGTGTTATGTCCTCATACCGTATTTTCGTGCTGAGAGACGATAAAAGAACTGAGGGTTTTCTGCGGAGTCTTTTGATTATGTATTTCAATCAGCGAGAATTGTTTCTTTCGGTTGAATTTACTCTTTGGATAATTGATGAATTTAAAAATTAACGACGAAGTTTCTGAGTCAAGCACGTGATCACAAATGAAGAAAATTTCATAGAAAAACTTGGCGAATTCGCTAGACAATTCTAATATATTTCTGTTGAACTTTCTATTAATTTTTGGTCGATTCTTTTGAAATGATCAATAGAAAATATTCTGTAGAAAAAGACAATAGAATGCGATTGTTCAACACAGTTTGTTCTGCTGAGATATTTTCTATAGAATTTCCTCGGCTCAAATTTTCCCTGTTTTTTTAATTCATTTTCTTGATGAAAAGAAAAGAAAAATTGAATGGAAAAACCCCTCGTTGATGCTCTTTCATTGTGCCCTTTTTCCTGGTAGATTTTATATTCCATTTTCTTTTCAATTAATTGTCTATAATCCTGTGCTCACTGAGTACGATTTTAGTCATAATTACAATTCAATTCCTTTTAGCACACTTCAGAATGTGAATTTCTGAAATTCAATGCTTGTTGATTCTCTGATACACTGTTAGAAATTTATTGAAATTTCAGTCACTGCTTCATCTGAATTCTCAATGTTGTGAGTTTGAATTCAATTTCAAATGAAAAAGTTGATAAAATTTCTCATTCATCTTAAAAATTCAAGCAAATTGGATTTTTCATGTTAAGTGATCATTGATATTTCAATGAAAGCTTGAATTTTCAAACTCATTGCGGAAATTAAACATCAAATGTAACTGAATTTTTAATAGATTGAGAATTCATAAAAGTTTTTGTCTGAATTTTCCCAATTCTCTATATTTTTGCGTGCCACATGGATCTGGAAATCGAGAATTACTTGAAATTTCAAGAGTAATTTTCTAACATTTTTTTTTGTATAAGTCCTTTCCCATACTGTTATCAATTTTTAGTTAGTTCACACGGTAATTCAATTAAAATTAAAACTTCATTTGAAGTATTGAGTCACAGCTTCTTTTTATTCATGTCAGAAATTTTGTATTTGGATATTAATATTATTTATTCAAAGTGAAAAAATCGATCATCATTTCCACTATATTGTATTCAGATTCTTCTATACTTAGCGTGAAAAATGTGAGATAGTCTCAGAATTCTAGCGATTAATTCTCATAAACTTTGTTCGAAGAAAACCTTAGTAAACGTATTACTAAAAAAATAGAAATATTTTATTTTCCTCTGTCTTAAATCATTTGGGCAATTATGATTCGTTCATTCGTGTTTTATAGAATGGTATTCAATTCTCATTTGTTTGTTAAGCGGGCTTCATGAAAATTCGACGCAAGACGATTGTACTCATGAAAACCGCGTTATTTTCTCCATTCGTTCGGGATATCCGCCATGTTTCACTGCTCACTTTCGATTCGAGACATTGTCTTCTACATTTTTTTAGTTTTTAACCCGGCACCTCGAGCATTTTAGCCAACGAACTTACTGCGCCACTATAACGTGTCAATCCAAAAGTACTGGATTCCAGAACCAAAGTCCCTTGATTCAAATATCATGGTACAGTAGAGTCTCGATATAATCGCGTTTTGCCCTTGTTGCGATTTTTCATCGCTCGAGCGTTTCCCCCACTCTTTCCACCCTTGACTCCCGAATGTAAATACTTCAGGGTGTTCTTAGATGCCGCATTGTTTTGCATTTCCGCGACCTCGAAACCATAAAATACTGTGCCTCTAGATTTGTAAAAAATAAGTTTAGTGCACACGTGACCATCATGGAGAGAAGTTAATTTATATTTTACGTATGCTTGAGTGTTTATTAAAGTGCGCAGTCAATTTAAAAAAAAGTTGGTTGATTTTCTTTTATGTTTCAATTGTGCATTACAAAATCGACAAAACTTGATATCCAATAAAATACAATCATTGAATTTTTCAATGAAAAACAAAAAAAAGTTATTCTCTATTAGATAGCAAACAAAATTATTCTTATAGATAAAAAAATGCATTGATGAAAAGCTGGTTAATGATAATGCAATTAGTTAACTAAAATTTGCAAATTGAAGTATTCGGAAGAATAGAAATTGAAAAATACTCGATTTTCTTATTTCTTATTTTGCCTTCATCAACCGTAGTTCCGAGAAATAGGAGCTACATGTGGGCGCTTAGCAGGGGTAGGGAAATACAGTCGGGTTCTCGGAATCAACTGCCCCTACGGGCCTACAAGTGCGACTATATCGAGAGTCTAGTGTAATGGCTTTCAGTCAAAATTACTGAGACCTTCAACATTTTCTCTTGATCTCCTATAGAAATTTCACTGGAACACAGTACTTTCTATCTGTAGATTGCCCTCCCACAGAGAACTAAAATCCAGAGACTAATCCTGGAAAGCAAAAAGACTTTTCTCTGCAAACTTCAATCGTCCCATGTATTATTCACAAATACAAATAAGTTGTTAATAATAAACGATACTCTACTGGGCTTACTGCGCTGCGTTTCCCATGGAACAGCCGCGGGCAGTGCTGCCACAATGGCAACGCACAGCCACAGATACTTCATCTTGTTCAATTATCCACTCCTGAAACATAAATAAATACCAACGTTCAATAAATAACAATCGAAAATACTGCAAGAAATACAGAAAATACGTTAAATCCCCGATTGCCATAAATTTTCTCGTAGATAACGTACAACGAAAATCTAGTGGGAGCGGTGGAGTGAGGTTAGGTGGTACTTTGGGAAGAAACTTTTTCCCGCACATACGTAAGAAACAAAGTTTTTCAGCCTCGGGTGAAATTTCTCACCACCGTTACTTCCACTTCTCGAGTATATGCAGTTGGGAAAATAATAAATTGCATCTACCACTTTTTGAGTATCGGTAAAAGGACCACTTCTAGTTCTTCAGACAAAGGGTTGAGGAGAAGGGGGGGGGGAGGTAGATGGGAGTAGGTGAGTCGCACTTTCCAGACTGGTATTTCCTTATCGTTACGTGGATTAGATATTGCTGAACCATTTTTTCCAATATGAGAGACGAAGTAGTTGGAAGAAAATGGTGGATCTAGTTGGGGTTAAACTTCAATAACTTGAAGGGAAATTAACAAAAAAAAAAGGGAATTAATCGGAAGTAATTCGTTCGATCCATAATGGGTCGCGGCCAGTCCAATCCACTCCTAGTAGTCATACCCAACCCGGGACAACCCTCTGATTTATTACTTGTTATTAATTTTTCTCATTTTTTATTTGGAGTATTGATATTTCTCTGTATATTGTTTGTATTGAAGTGCTGAAGTGAGAATTATTTTTCTGGTGGTCATTCATTTATCAGCTTTAGTAATTTCTATCCATTTCCATGAAAAATAATTAATTACCAATTTGTGGGGGGATTTGGAATCGGGAAACAAAGTTTTAAAACTCAATGAGCGAAAAAATCATAGAATCCTGAGATTTTATCAGTCATTTTAACTGATAAGAATTTTTAAAATTATGTGGAAAAGTTCATTTGTATTAAATTTTTAATTAATTTTTACCGCCAAGGACGTTGGTTTTATCTTTACCGATTTTTTATTGAGCCCTGAATTGTGTCTTATTTTTATTGGTTTTTAATTTTTTTTTCAAGCTCATTATAGAAATCGTATTTTTTTAGAAAACTGTCTTCCTCCTTTCCGTGAAAAACCAAAGAAAAACTTTCCTCGGCACAATGTTTTTTACGAAAATAATTATTTTGGTTTTTTATGAAGATTTCATCTATTTTTGCAAAGCGAGGAAATGATTAATTTTGTGTTTTTCTCATTTCGTTTGTTGAAATGGAATTAGATGTATGTTTTTCATGAAAAGCAAACTATTTCTATCACGTTTTTCACATTTATGCATTTAGTAAATTTTAGTCGTATAGATTCCGATAATCCATTTATGCATTGACTCTAATTGCCAAATTTCCGCGAAATTTATTATTTAAACCCTAAAATCAGTTTGTAAATTCCTGATGGAAGTCGAGCTTATTCAATTTTCCCATGTAAACACATGTAATTCATGAATTTAATTAATAATATTATTTGAAAACAGGGTAAAATTTTCTGGCAAAGAGCAAAATGCCCTTGCAGATCACGTCATTTTTCATGGTTATTTTGCGTTTACAACAATTAAATGAGTCGGATAACAAAACAGGTGGAGTACAAGGAGAAGAGAGAAAGAATAACGTACTCTTTCTCTCCTTCACGCGCAAGGCTGGCTCACACTGCTACTAACTTCGAGATCCAAAACTCACACTTACGGCTCGGAGATCGCGAGTGGAAATTTCGATCAGGGCCAGATCAGGGTTTGATCAGGTCAGTCCTGACGTAGGATCTGACTGTGATTATGTGAATTGATAGGTCCTGATCAACTTTGTAACGCCGTTTTAGATCCAAATTTGATCAGACCTGGCGGTTCCAAACCTCAAGGCCCATGGATCCGAATCGGAGGAATGCGTCCAGTTTCATTACTATTCGTTAACAAAAATTAATGATTAAATTTTTAAAAAATGTTTACGATTATTTGTAACCTTATTGGTCACCCCGCAATGGATTTATCGCAGAAAAAGCCATTTTGTTGTAGCAAATTATTCTGCCCACGGCTGATTTCGAACCCGGAATCCTACGATTACTAAACTTACGCCCTAACCACTAGACTACCGCGCTAATCTTATATTGCGAATCTCGTATTGTCAATATGACATTCGTTTGCATGTATCATCTCCAAATATTATTCTTCCACTCTTGCTGATAGTAAACTATGTCAAGATGGACTCCTGATAGTAGGGATGAATTTATCCAGCATCCCCCGCCCCCTCCCCCTTGCCCACCCACTATCGTTTTCCCCTTCCGCGCAGCTTTCCCACTATGTTTGACCCTTATGATTTAAGATGCTCAAGACTTTTGAGCCTTGAAAGTGACCCTTATGATGATCCGACCCTTATAAAGTCTGACATTTAAGAAATTCGACCCTTGATACGTCTAACCGTTGAAACATTTGACCCATGAGACTTCGGGTCCTTTAAACATGTAACTCTTGTGAACCTTAAGACATCTGATCCTTGCTACATTTGACCCTCAAGACGTTTGACCGTTCAAGCAACTGACACCGTGCTCAGATTGAGATCAGACTGATCAAATCCCAGTCTGATATTGTTTATTTCAGGATCTTCTGCTCAAGTGGACATGAGGGCGATAGAATCTGAATCTGATCAGATTCATCTCAGGATACTCTACTCAAATTGAAATCAGGGTGGCCTGATCCGAATCTGATCAAAGTGATTTCAGGCATTTTCCACCAGCTTTTGATCAGGTTTCACCTAATCAGTCGAACCTGACTACAGACGGATCTATTTCTGTTCCGATTTCAAGTGGCCGAAGTAGAATTCTCACTCGGGATGATGTGAAATACAACAATGAGGATAGGGACTCATTCCTATGCGTAACTTTCGTAATATTTTTTTTTTTTATATTCCGGCCCTTTCTGCCCTCTGATTGGCTAATCGGCCCTATCCAACCCTATGCATGCGACTGTGGATTCTACACTGCACCGCATTCGCACTCCCATAGAACATAGGAGTAGCATGGGAAACCACAGAATACCCATGCCGGTACAGGCGGTCACTATATTAGCGACCTCCCGCTCGCCGGAGGTTGAAAAACTCGGTTCCACGGGGAATCGAACTCACAACCTTTCGTACACTAGGCTCACACCTAGCCGCTTCGGCCACCGAAGTCGGTAATTTTCGTAATATTGACTTGAACAAAAAAGTGGGCACATCGATGAAAAGTTTGTGAGCGATTTCTATGATGTAACTAAGGGTACTTTCCATGTAGCTTGTCTAGTTTTCATTTCATATAATAATATGATCTGGAGGTAGTAGAGGGGGTAGTTACTTTCTGTAGGAATATCCGGCAGCGCTCGGCCTGAAGTGTTGGACAGTCGGAGTCCGAAATTTTCCTTGGCCGATACGCTGTCGCGTATCTCCATATAGAGGATTTTTCGCATTTTGTCTTTTGGAAATGATGACGCTCTCCCCAAAATATGGACAAAAATATGAAAGACACGCTTTGGTAAAATTGTGGAAAATAATTTTTTGTTGCTTTGACACCATTTGAAGCTTTTCGAATTACATTCACGTAACAGACGTTGAGAAATCAATGTTCGCCAGTGAGGATACACCGCTGAATATTGTTTTCACCTTGGCAATAGCCCAGACCTGCACTTTAATCAAAATTCATGAATATTACGCTCAGGAGATGTGAGTCATTAAAATGTAGGATACGATTACAGTGGCTTTGACCTGTGAATATGCTCAACATTATTCATGGAGTCGTGCTTTACATGTATATCCGGGTGAGGTGAAACATTACTACATCAAATTGTTCTTGGCTTTATAACTTTATCTGCAGTTTCTTTTCGCCATCACTGTTAACAATTTCCTAGAAATTTCAATAAAAAATTGCACAATTTAACTTTACATAATCTACATAATCATTTTTTTTCAAAACTACACAATTGTTTTTTTTGCGAAAATTTCTCGGAAATTTTCAACAAGCGACAATTCGATTGAAATTTCAAGGAATTTTGTGATTGAAAAGTCATGATTTGATGGAAGAATGAAAACTGTGAATTTTAGTTCGATCGATCTTTGCAAATTTATAGATATCCGAAAAATTCCGTGAGTATATTCTTGAACATTGAATTAATTAAGAATGCTTACCAATTTATACAAGGTGTGTAATTTTTTGTCTTCATGCTGCTTGAAAATTTAAAATTCTGTTGAATTCTAATTCCACAAAAATCTGAAATTTCATCATTTTTTCTGTTCATGAAATTCTAATTTTTTCTGACGGGGTTTTATGCAAGGGTCATGAAGGTCAGATTAAGGGTCACAGGGGTCTGAGTAAAGGTCCAAATAAGAGACGTGGGGGTCAAAAACCAAGGGTCACAAACTAAGGGTCACCAGGGTCAAAATAAGATTCATGAGGGTAATAATGAGGGTCATATTCAGAATCAAAATGAGGGTCATAAGGGTCAGGTTAAGGATCCGAATAAGAATCATGGGGAGTCAGAAACTAAGGGTTATCAACTAAGGGTCTCAATATCTCTCTATATTGTAGAAATCCAAATCGACTTGTGATGATGAAAATTTGGTGCTCGCAATTAAAACTTAAAAATTAAGGGTCAGAAATGAAGGGTCAAAATAAGGGTGATGAGGGGTTGTACTGTGGGTCAGAATGAGGGTGACGAGAGTCAGATTAAGGGTCAGAATAAGGATCATGGGGGTCATATGGGGGTTGGCGAGCAGAGCGAGCAGGGGGCGTAGCCCCGTAATCATTAATAATAATTATTGATTCCGATGGAAAGGTCATCCGATTTGAATGCCTTTGGCTTGATCAAATCGAGAATCATTATGCCAGTTATCATATCACTTTCTGATCGAGTCTTGACTTGGACCTGATCAAAATTTCCTCTCGGGTACAGACATCGAATCGAATGAGGTCCGTCTCATCCCAATTCCCCGTAATGGTAAAATTCAACGCGGAAAATAGCTTCAACAAAAGC